GTTGAATAAACATGAAGATCTCAGGATGATAACTGCTTTCACCTTTCGCATGCTGGTTGATGCTTGAAATTCATCCTGAAAATTTCATTCCTTTTTGCTTAATGCCTTAATGATTTTAAATTATAGTACTTGTTGGTCAGGCAAGTACAACAGAAGTCTTTTGATTTCAGAGTGTTTTGTGCTTTTTAATTCATTATCTCTCTCCCTACCCTCCCTCTCTACGCCATAAAAAAAATGCTTACATAAACAGTATACTAGTTATTTTTGCTAGGAATCCTTAGAATTGTACTTCTATCAAATGTCTTTTACAATAAAGACCAAGCATAGTCTCTTACTTCCATGTCAGCTGGGTCACAGTGTGTATCAGTTAGGGTTCAGAGGATAAGAAATTTATTGCAAGGAATTGAGGGCTGGCTAGGCAAATCCATAATATGTAGGGGTAAATATATATATCTATATACATGTATATATATATATATATCCAAAATGTATAGGGATATACATATATATGTATGTATACTGGAATGTTACTCAGCCATAAAAAGAATGAAATACTGTAATGCCATTTGTAGCAACATAGGTGCCCCTAGAGATTATACTAAGTGAAATAAGTCAGAGAAAGACAAATATCATATCATATCACTTACATGTGAAATCTTTTAAAAAATGATACAAATAAACTTATTTATAAAACAGAAAAGGAATCACAGACATAGGAAAAAAACTTATGGTTCCCAAAGGGGAAAAGAGCAGGGAGGAAGGGATAAATTAGAAGTTTGGGATAAGCAGATACAAACTACTATATATAAGATAGATAAACAGAAATGTCCCACTGTATAGCACAGGGAGCTATATTCAATAATTCAATATCTTGTAATAAACTGTAATAGAAAAAATCTGAAAAAGGAATTGTCTATGTGTGTGTGTGTATATATGTATATAAAACTGAATCACTTTGCTGTACACCAGAAACTAACAAAACATCATACATCAATTAAACTTCAATTTGTTGACAAAAAAATAAGCTAAGAAGAAAAGATAATTTAATCCATCCAAACTGAGGATTATAACCCAGGAAACAAATTCTCAGAAGCTCTAAGAGTTGCTTCATTGGTCAGGAGTTAGAGATGCAGTTTTATAGATTTTTGAGACAAAGAAATTATATAACATTTTGACAGCATTATATCGATAGATAGTTCAATCAACCAAGTTTTTTTTCTTTTTCAATTACACATATGCAGACAAGGCTTTGGTCAGTGCCACCCCTTGTGCCCTTGCCTGAGATGAAAAAAATACATTAAGCATAGAATTACAATGTAATCCTGTCTTGTGAAGAATGGGGCCAACCTTTTCTCATAGGGTGATTTCATCCACCTGCTTTGAGAAGGTCTGTTTAATGTGTAATGTAGATGCACACCGCACATTGTGAAAGGTCTGACATGAAGGGAGCATGTAATTTGTCTTCCTTTATTTTAGTCTGATTGTCCCTCCACAGAATATTTAAGATTTTCCTTATAAAAAATTTTTAAAGGGTGAAAAACCAAACCATGCTCTAAAGAAAACACAAGTGTAATAGGTTGGACATTTTCTCCCCAAAATATGTGTCCAAGTTCTAACTGTTGATATCTGTGAATATGATCTTACTCAGAAAGAGTAATACCTTCAAATACGTTTGAAGATATAATTAAGTTAAGGATCTTGAGATGAGATCATCCTGGATTTAGGAGCCAAGATCCCAATCCCCATACTGGATCTAGTGACCAGTGTCCATGTAAAAGAAAGGAGAGAGAGATTTTAGACAAGGGCAGAAGGTCATATGAAGATAGGGGCAGAGATTGGTGGGTGCCATGTATCCTTAAGCCAGGGCTTCCCTGGTGGCTCAGATGGTAAAAGAATCTGCCTGCAATGCAGGAGATATAAACCAGGGAATGCCTCTAGCCAATAGACACTGGAAAAGGGAAGGAAGGAACCTCCCCCTGGAGCCTCCAGAGAGAACTTAGTCCTGCAGACACTTAGATTGTAGACAATATGGCCTCCATATGACTATGAGAGAATTAAAATTTTGTTTAAAACAAAAGCAAAAAGCATGTAGGGCAAGTCATCAGTAAGGCTTGGGCAGGAACTAACAGTCGGTCCTGCGGTCCACAGGCAGAATGCCTTTATTAGGCAAATATCAGATCTGCTCTTAAAATCTTTTAACTGATTGGATCACCCAGATTATCCAAACTGACCTCTTTTACATTCAGTTCAGTCCCTCAGTCGTGTCCCACTCTTTGTGACACCGTGGACGGCAGCACGCCAGGCTTCCCTGTCCATCACCAATTCCCGGAGCTTACTCAAACTCATGTCCATTGAGTCACTGATGCCATCCAACCATCTCATCCTCTGTCATTCCCTTCTCCTCCCACCTTCAATCTTTCCCAGCATCAGGGGAAAGGATTTTCAAATGAGTCAGTTCTTATTGGAGTTTCAGCTTCAGCATCAGTCCTTCCAAATTAGAGATACCAAATGTTCCTTTGGTATCTCTAATTTTCTTAAAGAGATCTCTGGTCTTTCCAATTCTATTGTTTTCCTCTGTTTCTTTGCACTGTTCACTTAAGAAGGCTTTCTTACCTATCCTTGCTGCTCTTTGGAACTCTGCATTCAGATGGGTATATCTTTCCTTTTAGGGCAGAAACTATAGCACTAATGTATTCTGGAAGCATGTCTTCCTTCCTTATAGAAAGTAGATAGTTTGTTGCAATTGGATTTGCAATTGAGGGATAGCCTGGAGCATATTGACAC